CATCCGGCTTTGGTAGCCCGACGACCAGCGCGTGAAGTCGAGCTTTTTACGGTAGAACAGTTTAACGAGGACTGATACTGCTCACCCTCGGTCCCTACACAGGCTGATCAAATTGGTCACCCTACCGCTTACTGACAGCAGCCAGTGATGCTTGACTTCGGCGTTTTATTCGGAACCGTGTCTTTACGATCAGTCCACTGCGGGACTTTTAATTGACAAAGGCTGATGAAATTGAGCACATGAGCACGTGTCCCACTTCATCTATAGTTTGTATTTACGACAACTATGAGAATAGGATATTATTCGATAAGTTTTTTTTCATTACGAAAGATCCATTAAAGAAAAACCCTAAAAGTTCATACTAAAGAACGTTTCATTGCTGATTGGAGAACGTGAAACTTTCATAGATTAGACCAGTTTCAACTTAAACGGCAAGTTTTTCATAATGTCTGACATCTTCACAAATATTAGGCGTTTTTCGAATTCCTCCGACCACTTCATCGCTATTGAGATGAATATTGAAGAGAGTGATATTGATGATCTTCCTCTTTTTTCTGACGATTTCTATCTAACAGATGCAGAAAAATGTTTTTTACGATTAGATGTGGAAGAATCGCGTCCATATTTAAAGTTGGAATTATCGGATCAGGAACTATTTGAATTTATTCGAGGCTTCTCTGTTTTTATAATTGATGATGAGGAACATACTATTCATAGTGGTAAACTGTTAAAGAATAAAATTTCTCCGACATTTGACTTTCTTCAAGATTTTGTTGAACACTACACTGATATAAAATATCCGATACTACTTTTTATTTATATAGAAACCCAAAACGTTGATTTTAAGAATGTAAAAAATGCCCAGTGTACCGAAGTAGTGAAATCGGAAACCAGTACTTACGACAACGAGCAAATAGATTGCTTACTTGAACTTTCTTCAAACTTCAAGAAGATCCAGGAACAGAACATTGGTACAGATGTCATATTGAAAGTCGGTGGTGAGAAAATTGAAATTCACAAGACCATACTGCAAGCAAGATCGCCACGGTTGTATAAAATGTTCGAGGAGAGTTCAAACAAATGTGTCGAGATTAAGGATGTACGTATTTCGATAGTTAAGGAATTTATTGCCTTTCTGTATACGGGTACAAAGAAAAGTTATGATTTTAAAAGTGCCAGAGAGTAGTGTTGGAGTTGGAGTTTTCAATTGGAGATT